TCAACAGTAGGCTACTTGTTAAGTTTGGGTGGAGGCTGTCAAAAGTTCTACTTGGATTTTATTTAAGACATATTTTAAAAGTAAGTTAATCATCATGTTCATTAATAATCGAATTAGGTATATTCAACATGGCTGTGGTATTCTGGGTGGAACAAGTTAGTACTTACAAGTAATGAAAGCTGCTTTTTGTTGGTTAGTTGTGCACCTGATACTCACAACAATCTTGAGAGATAGGTATTGTTATTCCTATTTTACAGGTGAGGAAACTGAAGTTCAGTGAGGGGAAGTAACTTGCTCAAGAACATACAACTAGTAAGTGGCAGAGCCAGGATTTAAACCCAGTTCAAAAAATCTGTTTTTAACCTCTATGCTATATTGAAATTTTGTGTTGTCCTCCCAGTTCTGGTTGTCCTAGTCGTTGATGCTATTTTACACTGAAGAGTTGGTTTAGCTTTGGCATTTAATTTATGTAATGATATTTCGAGGAAGGAAGAATGTGTCTTTGTTTTCAACTAGAAGTAGAACTTCTCACACCTTTAGACTTAAGTATTACTCACGAGTGTTGTGTTTCCATCCCAGTATATCTTCTCAATTTTTAGTTTATAGTGGAGTAAGTCCATTAAAAGTGCATTTCCACCCTAAATAAGGTAAATCTCCAAGTAGTGGAAATTGTAATTCTGTTACTGTTTAGAAGCACCTTTAGAAGACAGGAAATGAACTGAGTTGTTATTTATAAATCATTATAATGAGTTACTATGAATGACCCATTTTCATAGATCTTTTATTTAAATTATTTTTTCTTTTCCTCTTTAACACTTGTGGATGGATACCTTTCTTTTTGCCTAGTTATCCTTAAATTCGCTACTATATTCATATTTGCATTACTCAGGTTTTATAGTTTCAGTGAAAAATGACATATGCAAGATAATTCTGATAATTTTCACATAATTCAAAATAAAATATTTTCTGCTTCAAAGGAGGGGGTGGCCTTTGAATTTAATTTTGAAAAATTTAAATTTAATTACTCCTATCAGTATCGTTTACGTGGCATTTTTTGTAGTTCTGCTTGTTGAAAACTAGGATAGAAGAAAATGTACTAAATACTTGCCTTTTTACTTTTTTAGGTTTAAAGTAACGAGTTATTTCATATGGACAAAACTAGATTTTCCTGTCACTAAGGGCAGTGGGAATTAAATATCTGATAGGCTGAAGGCTCACATATAACATCCTCTCTCATGATGCCTTTCACCCTGAACCTTTGCACATGCTGAGTCCATTCACTCATCAAATGCATCATTTCTTGGACTTGGTGTTCTGAATGAAGGAGAGACAACCCCTGCCCTCAAGAAATTCACATTTAGTAGGGAAAACAGACATTCAGTGGATTGTATAATTGTATCAATAAAGGATTAAAGGTGTTGAGAGGAGGTGAGGCTGTATCTGATATGACTGGGAGTGACACAAGCAGCAGTGTAGGTCAGGGAGCAAGAAGCATGACCAAGTGTTAAGAAACAACTTTATTGGAGGAACTACAGATTTGTAAGTGGCTTGATTAAGTGGCAAAAGATGAGGCCTTCAAAGACTTTTAGGAGATTAGATATTATCCTCTCAAGTATTTTACAAAGCTAGGTTTCCAACAGAGTTCTTAAATTTGGCCCTAAGAGCAAAAAATTAAAAACATTTGAGTGTTTCCTCTTTACCTTGCTCTGTGGTAAAAAGAAAAGAAAAAAATGTGGGTATAAGACCATTGATATCAAGAAGCTCAGATTAGTGAAGAAAATCAATGGTACAGCAATAGAAGCTAAGATGTGTGGCATACAAAAGAGTAGGTGACTATTTGCAATTGAGAAAAACTTTTTTTTTGAACTTTAATAATTTTATTTAAATTTGTGGCATAGGGGCACCTGCCTGGCTCAGTCAGAAGAATGTTAGACTCTTGATCTTGGGGTTGTGAATTTGAGCCCCATGTTGGGTGTAGAAATAAAAAAATAAAAATTTATGGCAATAAATAAATAAATAAATAAAGGCATACCCATTTAGGCCATCAGTTCCAGCAGAGGAAAATCTGACACCCAGGTAAATTATGTGATTTGCCTCAAGTTCTAGAACCAGAACCCAAGATTCCTGTTAACAAAGATTCCATACTTTTTACCATAGAATTCCTTTCTGGAGTGTTGCTGTTGATAGACTAAGAAGTAACTATCATTAGCAAACTGTTATAAAGTTGTTTATGTTGAACCTACGCCTAATTTGATCAGGAAGCTAATAAGCCAGTGTGTTTATAGTCTCACAGGATGTATCTATTGATAGATGGTTCCCAGAAATTGTACCGTTGTTTTAGTTGGCGACCCCACCAGCATGGATAAGCTAGAATTATTATGCCTGCAATTTTAGAACCTTGTACATTAACTAGTAGAGGTTAATATTTCATACTCCCTCTTCTGGATACTTTCCTTCCTCTTGTTACATGTCCCATTTTCCTTGATCCTAAGTAATGCAGAAAATTGTCATCTTTACATGATGATCATAATACTGTTTTTCATGGCACCTGTCATTAAAAAAATCACTATGTTGCTAGAACATAATAGGCATTGAATTACTAGCCCCCCCCCCTGGTCTTTTTTTTTTTTTTTGAAACAAAATATTTTATTCTTTTTTTTTTTAATTGTAAAATCACATAAAATTTACCATCTTAACCATTAAAAATCTTTTTTAAGTTTATTTTGAGAGAGAGAGAGAGATGAAGGCACATGAGGGGGGAGGGGCGGAGAGAAGGAGAGAGGGAATCCCAAGCAGGATCCCCACAGCTTGGAACCTGACTCAGGACTTGAACCCACGAACCTGTGAGCTCATGACCCGAGCCAAAGTCAGACTCTTAACCAAATGAGCCACCCAGGTGCCCAACCATCTGAACCATTTTTAAGTGTACAGGTCTATAGTGTTAAATGCATTCACACTGTTGTACACCCAACCTCCAGAACTCTTTCTCTTGCAAAAGTGTAACTATACACATCATTAACTCACTATCCCCTCCCCCCAACCTTTGGCATCTACCATTCTTCTTTCTATTTTTATTTTTATTAAAAAAATTTTTTTTACATTTATCTATTTTTGAGAGAGAGAGAAAGAGTGAACAGGGGAGGGGCAGAGAGAGAGGGAGACACAGAACCCAAAGACTCACAGAGCCTGATGTGAGAGTCAAACTCACAAACCTTGAGATCAGGACGCTTAACTGACTGAGACACCCAGTTGCCCCTATTTTTATTTTATTTTTATTTTTATTTTAGAAGAGAGCACCAGTCGGGGAGAGGGGCAGGGAGAGAGGGAGAGAACATCTTAAGCAGGCTCCACGCTCAGCACGGAATCAGAGATGTGGTTCGGTCCCACAACCCTAGGATTGTGACTTGAGCCAAAGTCAAGAGTGGGAGGTTCATCTGACTGAGCTACCCAGAGGCCCCACTTAACTTTTTTTTTTTTTTAAGATTTTTTTGGGGTGCCTGGGTGGCTGACAGAGAAGCACCTGCTTGGGATTGTCTCCCCCTCTTTCTGCCCCTCTCCCGCTTGCACATGCTCACTCATGCATGCCCCCCCCCCAAAATAAATAAGTAAACCTAAAAAATACCAATTTTATCTTATTTTAAGTAATCTCTATACCCAACAAGGGTGGGGGACTTAAACTCCTGAGTCACATGCTCTACTGACTGAGCCAGCCAGGCATCCCCACTGTCCTTCTTTCTTTCTCTATGAATTTGACTACTCTAGATATCATGTAAGTGGAATTAATGGTCATATTTTTGAAATTAGCTTTCCTATTACAATGGAATCCTTTATATATAAACCCAGCTGCTTGTAACAAAACATTTGGAGCATGCTTTAAAGTTTTGCATTTTGACTTACAGAGGCAGTACAGTGAGAAGATAATTCATTGCTGGTAGACTAAAGAAAAACAGAAGGCAATTCCTTTAGAGCCTATCTTTCTTGTCCAAAGCCAAGGGTATGGCTATGCTTTCTTCCCTATCTAAGCCCCAAACATGTCTTCAGAATCCATCCAGCCCTCCACCTTCCATATTTGCATATTTTATATAAACTGTACGTGTGCTTGAATACTGCACATCCTGTCTTTGGATATAAATGGTGTCTTAATCTATAAAATCAGGAATATTCCTCTGCTCAGGTTTAAATGTAGTTGGTGGCATTTTTCTTTTAATTCTTTTGGTTCACATATTCAGTATCCCATTTAGTACAGTACCTATAAGGCTCTTTTGAAAGCGATACCAACATGGAGGTTTTTCTATATATCTCTAAAGGAGGAATTTTAAGCGTTTAAAGTATGAAGTAGAAAGATGGAAATTAAAGATTTGTTCAAGATGTTAAAGATGCCTTACCTAGTAGGAAGTGCTTAAAGTCATTGAGTCAAGTAGGTACATAAATTTGTGACTTTCGCTCGTATTTTTCTTAGTTACAGACCCTTTAAGAAAAAGCTTCTTTTGAATGGATCAATCATTTTTTTCTTCTTTGTAAGGCTTAATATACTGTCGTCATAATTTGTATGTTATAACATTAACCATTATATTTAAAAATCACTTTGCCTTGAAAAAAACTCAGTAATAACTTTATCAGGTATACACGTGTATGTGTACATATCAGTAAGCATAAAAGTGTAAAAAATATTTACGGTTTTTGTTGATGCACATGTGACACCTCTGTGTAATGAATAATATGGTAGTTTGGCTCATTTTGCTGTGTCATGTGTGTTTGGGAAGTGGGAGGTTTTGTGGGAAAGAGTAGTATTTGAGCTATCACTGAGATGAGCAGTCGGAGAATTGTAGTTTTAAATACTTCCGAACTACACTTTTCATAACAACATGGAAAAGCTTTTTGACGGAGGTGGGGCTTGTCGAATGGTTTCACAGAGTGAGTTCTAATTTTGTTTTTAAACAGAAACAAGTGTTCTGATATCTTAGGAGAATGATCTTCATTAGAGTCTCTTCTTTCTACAGAAATAGAAAGGTGGTTGATTATTCACAGTTTCAGGAATCTGATGATGCTGGTAAGTTTCGTGATTTCAATAAATTGTAAGTTGGACCAACTAATATTGAAAGAATTGCTAACTCAGTGTACTGTTTTATCATGCTTTTAGAATAAGTTTTATCTTTTTTTATTTTTAAACTATATGTAAATTATGTCGGGATTTGTGTCACCCAAAACAGAAGTTGAACTTGCATGGATTTTTACTTTTCCTTAGTAGATCATTGATAATAAATACTTGGATAACTTTTTTCTTAACTGGTTTTGGAGTCAGCTTCAACACGCAGTAATGTTTTCTTACAATATGTCCTTAATCTCATTATTTTCCAGACGCATTTGCTATTCTTTCTGCCTTTTTTAAATCGAATTTCACTTTATAAAGACAATGTGTGTACTTTGGGAAAACTTAGAAGATGCAGAAATGTGAAAAAGAGTAATAACGTACAATCCAACCTCCCAGAAGTAATTCTAACATTTATTAAATGCTGCTAAATATTTGCATGTATTCATTTAATCCTTAGTAGAGCAATCCTATTAAAATGGAATATACTATTATTGTTTCCATTTTACAGATAAGGAAACTGAGGGAGGGATCTTATTCAAGGCCCCTTAGCTGGCAAATGGCCATTTTAACCTTTTGCAAAAAAAGCCTGTGTCTGTCTTTCCTTTTAAAAACATAGTTGGAAGTCTTGCTATAGAATTTTGGGTTCTCTCCTACTCCTATTTGTGTGTATCTTTCTCCTATTATGAAAAGTTATTTGAGAAATTACTATTAATGGTTGTGTGATATTCCATAATGGAATTTATAATGTATCCATCCATTTAATAATTGCTGAAGCTCCTGAGTACTTCCAGATCTCCACTATTATATAAAATGGTATAGTAAACATAACCCATTTTTAAGATTGGTTAATTTTCTTAAGTTCTATAGGACTTTTGAAATTGGAAGTACTTTCCTCAAGTGTCAGAGTATGCTCCATTTAATACTTCAGTTCAAAAGTAATCTACTTGATAACAGTAATTGTGTTAGGATTATAGAATTGTGGGGGTCTTTACATTCTGGAATGCTTGTATTTATTACTGTAATGGTTTTCAAGTAAATATGAAGATGTTGAAACATGGGAATATCTTTAAGAAATTAAAAGGGTAGGATATAAAATGATAAGAGATACTTGGCTATGTATGGGTATATTAAAATACACACATGAGATTAGAAGGGACTGATATAGGAAAGAATTTATTTTTTAAAAATGAAAGAAAATTGAGGGGCGCCAGGGTGGCTCAGTCGGTTAAGCGGCCAACTTGGGCTCAGGTTATGATCTCATGGTTTTGTCGGTTCGAACTCTGCACCAGGCTCTGTGCTGACAACTCAAGAGCCTGGAGCCCACTTCGAATTCTGTGTCTCCTCTCTCTCTCTGTCCCTACCTCATGCACGCTGTGTCTCTCTCTCTCTCTCTCTCTCTCTCTCTCTCTCTCTCAAAAATAAACACTGAAAAATTTAAAAAAAAAAAAATTTTGTGGGAAATCCTACTGCCCCCTCACCGTGTAAATAGCATTAGAGATACTTATCTCCATAAATAGTGGTAATTTATACATGTAAAAATCATAATATTTGAATTTGAAAAATGCTCTGTTTAGATGAAGATTATGGAAGAGATTCAGGGCCTCCAGCTAAGAAAATTCGGTCATCTCCCCGAGAAGCTAAAAATAAGAGGCGATCTGGAAAGAATTCACAGGAAGATAGGTAAGAGGCATTGTTAATCTGTTCCTGCTTACCCTGTTCCCACTTGGCCTTGAGGGTGGTCTCTGATCTCTAAATTGGTGGAATCTCCATTTACTTTGGGAAAGTGCTTATTGTCTACTTAATATTGTTTTGCATATTTCTTATTATCTCAGGCAGTGCTTCTTGAGTCTAGGGGTTAGCCTCTTTAAGGTCATGAGGCTTACTTAGACTCAACCTAGAATCCAAGGTGATCTCCAAGAATGCTTTTGTTCTACCTCAAACCTCTGAACATAAGCAGAAAGATTGTTTAAGTATGTAATTTGTTACCTAAGGTTAGTATTGACATTTTCATTGTAGTGATAGCAAAGAATGAGTGGCCTTTCCCGTTGAGTCACACATCACTGGCAGAATCATAACTAAAGCTTATAGAATCTTCACTTGTATAGATTGCTGAGGTTTGCTGTCTATAATCCTCCTTTGTTCAGATAATTTCCTCATTTGTGGGGCAGTAGAGGAGTTGTGATTTTAACTATACTTGCCTTCTGAGACCAGGATATTGTAATTTTTGCCTCTGCTGTCACAGACCTACACACTCTCATCATACTCCATGTAGCATAATTTTAAGACCTTAATGACGGTGGTGATGGCGATAATGGTGATCGCTACCGTGGATGATTCTTTGCCAGTCTCTCTTATGTGCTAATTTATAATTTATATTCATTATCATTTAATTCTCACAACACCTGTATTAAGGTACTGCTAGCTTAGAGACAGGGTCAGTGATTTATCCAAGGTTATCCAGCAAATGGACCAGCAGGTTTTGGAACCATGTCTGTTGGCCTCCAAAGACCATGTTCTCACCATTGGGCTGTACTGCTTCCAAATATATTACGTCAGAGCAGTTCAAAGAAATACAGTCTTTCTCGTCAGTTCTTCTAAGGTATTTACCTTCAGATACTAAAGTCTTGTAAAATAAAGCCCCACACAAAAGTCTTTCCGTTCTGAATTCACAGAATGCTAAATTTGTAGAAATGACAATATTTACCTCCAGTATTTTCTTTACTGGAAAATTTCAGAAGTGTGGTTTTGAGGAAAAATAAGACAACACTGTGCTGTGGGGAGACAAGTCTTCCATAGTTTTGTAGTATATCTTTAATCCAGTTTTCTGTAGCAGCCCAACTTAGATTCTCTTCCATTATGTTCATTTTTTATATTTCTCTTAGGAATGGATTTCTTTGTGGCCTGCAACCTGTTCTATAGTGTCTCATCGATACAATTAATAGCTAGCCTAAACTTTCCCTTGTTCTAATTGCTTGGTTTTATTTCTTTCCTAAGTGTCAGGAATGGTGGAGATACAGTTTTTATTGCCATTTCTACTAAGTGCCTTGTAAAGTTTATTCCCTCAGACCATTGTTGTCTTGAGTTTTCTATTGATCTCTACTTGTAAAAGTTCGGCTTTCACTTGACTTTATTGTAATGGGACTCCAGGATTAATGGTCTCTATAAACCCAATAATAAAAGAACTAGAGAAAACTATAGTTCTTTGTTATTGTAACTTGTGAATTAAATGCTTACTTTGCATAAAAACATACAGAATGGTCTCAGGTTTCGGCATTACGGTGTATCTTGAATCACATTGCTTAGTAAAGAAATAGGGTTGGTTTTTCTCTTTTTTTCGGGAATCTTGAGTTTGGTAGTTTGTCATTTGAGTGTGGTCTAGATCATAGGAAATACCAGAAGAGATTTACAAGACCTGCTGTTTGAAAAAGCTGTGAAGGCAGTTTTTATGTTGGGTGTTTTCTTTTTTTGTTTGTCAGAATTTCTCATAGAGTCATAAAGTCAGAGCACTGAAGACTGAGTACCAAGTGATTTGCCTGAGACCATACAACTGATTAATGACAAAGACAGGACACGAGAACCCAGATTCCTGAATTAAGATTTTTGAGGACATAAAACGTGCATCTTTGTGACTTAAATTGTTTTATATAACTTTCCTTGGAACCTTGAAGCACTTTTTTCTTATTTTACTTTGCGGTGATTTGAGTGCTCTTATTCTCTCCATGATACAGGGCAGATCTGTGTGTTGATGTTTCTGATGTATAGAAATATTGGAGGCAAGAAAAATCTACGGAGATAGTTGATTTATTTTCATTTTGTTTTAGATAATTTTTTAGGGATATTGTAATTTACACAACTGCACTCCAGTTTCCTTAAATAATTGTGTTTTAGGGGTTTTTTGTGCCTATATTTGGTGCCATCCAAATTTATTTGCCTACTTTCCCGCCATTCATACATGGTGTAATTTATTTTTAGTATTTTTATACTTTGCCTCTGACAACAGAGAATTTTTTATTATTAAATGTTCTTTGAATATTTCATCCATAAAAGAGGTATTCTTCAAGTTCTTCCCCTGTCGGAGATACCAGAGATGTGTGCTCACTTAGATTTTGACCTAAGACTTTTAAACTTTCTCCCTGCTTCCCTTTACAGTGAGGACTCCGAAGAAAAAGATGTGAAGACCAAGAAGGATGATTCTCACTCAGCAGGTAGGAAACAATTTTTAGTGTAGTAGGTGGATTGACTGATGTCTTTATTCACTGGACATTTTAATAGCAGTTTTATAATAATGCCAGGCGCTGTCATAAATACTGACATGACAAAGAGGTTTGCATCTTTGAAGAGCTCAGTGCTGGTGACTTATTGCAGTTGCCGTGAGGGTTTTTTAAACACGCTTATTACAGAAATCCACCCAGGATTTCTGATGCAGTAGGTCACGGTGGGACATTGGGGCTTTGTTTTTTAAAAATATTTACAGATTATTCTAATGCATAATCAACACTGAAAACTATTTGCATAAACAAATAACAGCCATCAAACTGAATAGATTTTAAAGAGTGTGTATAATAGGAAGTGACAGATCTAAGGCGTGTGGCGAGGAACTCTAGAGTGAAGAGCAGACAGAAGATAGTTTTGCCCTTACTTTAGCTCGGGAAGTAGTCCTTTGAAACGGTAGCCACAGAGCAGGCTGTTGGGGTAAGAGTTTTAACTTGAAAGAATTAATAGAGACCCCGTGGCCAAATACAACGTAAGATCCTGATTACTTGCTGTTATTTTTCCAAATTTAACTCTCCTAAGAACTGAGGGTTTATTCTATACTGCCCCCAACCACTTTAGTTTTGACCTACATTCCCATGCTTTTGCTTTCCTGGATGTCCCTCTAAATAGGATTGCTGTTGGCTAATACGTGGAGGGCCGACAGTCCCACTGCATGCACTCCACTGAGCTATTGGCTTTCGTTCCTTTCCAAGTGTGTTATCTGACTGCCTAAGTTGAAAAGAAATAGGTTTTGTATCTTAGAATAATTATCCTTGGGAGTCTTCCCCTCTTCTATTTAAAAATATTTTTCTGGGGTGCCTCGGTGGCTCAGTCCGTTGGGCGTCTGACTTTGGCTCAGGTCATGATCTCGCAGTTTATGAGTTCGAGCCCTGTGTGGGGCTCTGTGCTGACAGCTCAGGGCCTGGAGCTTGCTTCACATTCTTTGTGTGTGTGTCTCTCTCTGCCCCTCCCCCACTCATGCTTTTTCTCTCTGTCTCTGAAAAATGTATAAACCTTAAAAAAAAAGAAAATATTTTTCTAACTTTAGTTTCTAAAAACTGTGAACATAGGGGCACCTGGGTGGCTCAGTCGGTTGAGCGTCTGACTTCGGCTCAGGTCATGATCTCGCGGCCTGTGAGTTCGAGCCCCGCGTCGGGCTCTGTGCTGACCGCTCAGAGCCTGGAGCCTGCTTCGGATTCTGTTTCTCCCACTCTCTGCCCCTCCCCTGCTCACGCTCAGTCTGTCTCTCTCTCCCTCTCTCTCTCTCTTCTCTCACTCTCTCTCTCTCAAGAATAAATAAACATTAAAAAAATTTTTTTTAAATAAAAATAAAAACTGAACATAGATTGAAATGTAATTGATAATTTTAGGGCAACACAATGATACGAGTTTAAAGTAGATGTTCACACCTAAATTCAGCTTTATTGTTACTTAAAACTACATGCTTCAGTTCTTTTCTTTTTCTTTTTTTTAATGTATATTTATTTTTGAGAGGGAGAGAGAGTACAAGCAGGGGAGGGGCCAAGAGAGAGGGAGACCCAGAATCTGAAGCGGGCTCTAGGCTGTAAGCTGTTGGCACAGAGCCTGACGTGAGGCTCGAACTCATGAACCACGAAATCATGACCTTAGCTGAAGTCAGATGCTCAACCAACTGAGCCACCCAGGTGCCCCTCCTAAGTTATTTTCTATGTACTAATGAGTACGTGATATTTTTCAAGTTCGTGCTTTGAATTTTAGCTCCTCTTTTGTATATTTTGTAGGAGTTTTTAGGGATAGAATTTACCCTTTTTGAGTGAAATAAAGCTGAAGGTTATATAGCTCATGCTGGCTTTTCTGGTCAGCTGTCAGATAAATGCACAACTCTTCGATTGTTGCATTATAACTTCGGTATTACAGAGGACAGTGAAGATGAAAAAGAAGATCATAAAAATGTGCGCCAGCAACGGCAGGCAGCCTCTAAAGCAGCTTCCAAACAGAGAGAGATGCTCATGGAGGACGTGGGCAGCGAAGAAGAACAAGAAGAGGAAGACGAGGCACCGTTCCAAGAGAGTATGTAGGCTTGGCTTGTTACTTTGGTCATGACTGTACTTTGTGACCTCGATGGCTTCTGGGTTGTCGTGGATACTAAACATGGCAGCCGGTCCCTTAAATTAGATCCTCGCTGTTAGAAGAGATGACTGTTTCTCATACCTGCTGATACTTTTGAGGTTCACAGACTCTCTTTGATTATGATGTCCATCGTTTGAACTCAAATACTGAATGAGAGCTTGTTAGAACAGTAGTTACACGGTGGGTGTTGTGATTAGGATTGGCGTTTTGGCCTGGGAGTGGAAGGGGTAGACCTCGTCCCCCAGCAAAAGCGTTCATAGCAGAATCTAGATGCTTCACACATGACTCAGCTTTATTGATTCTGTGTATTTTTGCTTTGTGTTTAGCTTTCTTGTTTCATTGGTTCATGGTTGGACCAGCACACACCCAACTGGTGCCGTTTCATTTCCCCGGTCTCCCCAGTACTACAGGGGGGTGATGGAACTACCAAAAGTTATTTGGTGGCTGCGGTTTTTATTCAGATTAAATGGTATCTGTTCCCGTTCTCAACCGACTCTTCAAACAAGTCAGTGGCGTCACCTGCGTGTGCGGGCTAAGCCCGCTGTACACGTGGGGCTGACGACGACTCCAGCCAAATGGGTAGCACAGCTGCCGGCAGAATCCGAGAGTGTTTATTTCCCAGATCCCGTCCTCCATTCGTGCCTAGCACGGTCTCCCTTTGTTCACTTGGAAGGATGTGTACGTTAAGCTGGACGTTGAAATTCTTCTTTCCTCTCAGAAGATTCCGGCAGCGATGAAGATTTCCTCATGGAAGATGATGATGATAGTGACTATGGCAGTTCAAAAAAGAAAAACAAAAAGATGGTTAAGAAGTCCAAACCTGAGAGAAAAGAAAAGAAAATGCCCAAACCCAGGCTAAAGGCTACAGGTGAGTGGTGCAGAAGTGAAATTAAATTACCGCTTTGAAAAGTTTCAAGAACCAATACACTTTTCTCTACAGAAATTCTTCATTAGGGGTTGGCAGTGGCCACATGCCTAACAAGAATGAAGGAATTCTGAAAGGACCGTCTTCCACAGTTGGAAGTATCCCTTATTTGATTATTAATAAGACTCTAGCCCCTGCAAGAGTCTGGCGGCTCAGCCCTGTTCTTCAGCTCCTGCCTTCCGTGGCAAGTTTTGGCGGCCACCTGTTCGTGTCAGGCACAGTGCTGGAAACGTTGCATCAGGATAGCTGTTCCTGCTCTTTTTCCTCACCGACATCACAATCCCAGCAGCTAGTAAAGACTTGAAATTGTGAAAATGCACACCTGTAATCCTATTTCAGTTCTCTGTTCTGATCCGTGCGCGGTCCTTTGTGCTAGCCTAACGAAACCACACTTGGCAACGTGGATTCGGTTTCTTTGAGCCCTTGTGGTTTCTGCCAGATATTCCCCTTTCATAGCTACTTTGTTATTTAACTCAAAGTTCAATTTGCTTTGTTTTTTCTGGCAAATAGAACTGGTGATTTTTACATTTTTTTCACTTAACCACTTCTTACCATTAGGAATTGTGGAACGGTCTGGGGCACGTGGGTGGCTCAGTTGGTTAAGCATCCATCTCAGTTTTGAATCAGGATGCTCAGGTCATGATCCCACGGTTTGTGAGTTCGAGCCCCATGTGGGGCTCTGCACTGACGATGTGGGCCTGCTTGGGATTCTCTGTCTCCCTCTCTCTATGCCCCTCCTCCACTCACTTTCTCTCAAAAATAAATAAACATTTAAAAAAAAAAAAAAGAGGAATCCTGGAACTGTCAAAAGGTATGTTATTTGATGAGAGCGCCTGGCTGGCTCAGTTGGTAGAGCATGGGCTCTTATCTCAGTCATGAGTTCAAACCCCACTTTGGGTGTAGAATTTACTTAAAATCGGGGCGCCTGGGTGGCTCAGTCAGTTAAGTGGCCAACTTTGGCTCAGGTCACATCTCTGTCGCAAAATAAATAAAACTTAAAATTTTTTCTTTAAAAATAATAAAATAAATGATACATCCTTAGAAAATTTTTTTAAGAATTTGATGGCTTTAGTTTCCACTCACATTGTTGTATCCATTCTTCTTGACCTCCCCCCCTTTTTTTTTAATTTGAGAGAGAGTGCACAAGCAGGGGAGAGGGGCAGAGGGAGAGAGAGAGAGAGAAAATCTTAAAGTAGGCTCCTTGCTCAGCATGGAGCTCAGTTCAAGGCTCCATCCATCCTACAACCCGGGGATCACAACCCGAGCTGAAATCGAGAGTCAGATGCCCAGCCCCGACCCACTTTTTATTTTTTTTTTTTAATTTTTTTTTTTTCAATGTTTATTTTTTGGGACAGAGAGAGACAGAGCATGAACGGGGGAGGGGCAGAGAGAGAGAGACACAGAATCGGAAACAGGCTCCAGACTCTGAGCCATCAGCCCAGAGCCTGACGCAGGGCTCGAACTCACGGACCGCGAGATCGTGACCTGGCTGAAGTCGGACGCTTAACCGACTGTGCCACCCAGGCGCCCCCCGACCCACTTTTTAAACAAAACCTTTATCAGAAACAACTTTTCATTTCACAAACCACTAAGTATAGTGTGCAGTTTCTGTAGCATCCTGTTTCTTTATTAGAAACATTACTGCAAACATAACACCACGGTGTTGGCAAAAGTGATTGGGAACCAGTGCCCACCTCGATTTTTTTTAGTCAGTTAGGATGTTGTCTTGATAGATTTTATTCTTCTAGTTTTGTTTATGGCTGATTTTTATTAAAGACCTTTTCTTCTCTTCTCTTCCCTTCCCCAAATTGGTATTTGTTTTCTTTTCAGTGACTCCAAGCCCTGTGAAAGGCAAAGGGAAGGTGGGTCGCCCCACAGCTTCCAAGGCATCAAAGGAAAAGACTCCTTCTCCCAAAGAAGAAGACGAGGAACCAGAAAGCCCTCCAGAAAAGAAACCCTCTGCCAGCCCTCCACCTGAGAAATCTGGGGATGAAGGGTCTGAAGATGAAGCCCAGTCTGGGGAGGATTAAAAAAGTGATGATGGTTTGGGGAGAGATTTTATTAAAAAAAAAAAGAGAAAAAAAAAAAAGAAAAAAGAAAAAGGGGGAAAAAAAACTTACTTAAGATAGAACATGGTTTTGGCTATGGCTTGACTCATGGGCTTTCAATGCTTTTTCCCTTTTCTTGAAAATAACATTCTCTGTCTTTCTCTCTCTCTCTCTCTCTCTCTTTTTTCCAAGAAAACCATTGTATGTTTAATTTACTTTTTTGTCTTTTGGTCTTTTCTTTGCCGTCACCCCTCTTTCCCACCCCTTCCCAATGAAAGCCATGTCAAAGTAATCACTGGATTGACTGCTTCATCTTTTTATTTTTAATGGAAGGTATACCACAGTTGTAAAGCAATAAGATTTGAGGTGAACGCTATGGAAATTTTGCTTTTTGCTAAACGGTAGCAAGTTGAACCCTAATCAAAAAACATAGAAGGGGTTTAGTTAAAAATGATTGCTTCTTTCTCTACCTGGACTTAAAAAAATCAGTTGTCATCTAATACAAGTTTATATGTCTATATACACAAGTATAGATGTCTACAAAAAATCATGATGTTACACTTCCACTGATGGGGCAGGTAGGAGATAAAGCTGAATGCTGAATTCTGAATTGTTACTAAAAGTATTCATATTTTTTACCGAGGGAGCAGGGCAGGGAATGGGGTCACCTGACCTTGTGTGAGGGGGTGGGTTTGTTTTGTTTTGTTTTATTTTGTTTTGTTTAATTCCGTCACCTGTTATCTCAAAGAGACCGGGAGCCAGTGATCCTTTTACCCTGCTACAGTCTTTCAGGAACTTTAAAAAAAAAAAAAAAAAAGCAAACAAAAAAACACAAGGGCCACCAAAACTTAAGTCACTCTTGATTTCCTATTTCATTCTCTAGTGGTTCATGTTTTTAAATATATATGTATCTATTCTGTTTCTTGGATAAAATTTTACCAAGGATCAAAAAAACCCACAAAAAACAAAAACAAACCTAGAATTTAAATGGCAAGATCTATACACCAGAGTGGATTTCTTCTTAACTGACAATGTTTAGGTTTTAAGCAAATAAAGTACCAATTAATGTGAAACTCAATCACAGAGACTTGAGATTTTTCCTTTATGAAAACCGAAAATTGAAATTCTTTTATGCCGTAAGTGTGCATTCAGATCCCATGAACCATGCTCTGTTTTTATTTGGGGAAAGAACATTTTTCTCTTCATACACCTGCCTTCCCATTTCTCCGCAGACACATGAAGCGCATCTCTGGGCTTCCCGCTACTATGTGGGGTACCACTGCTTACCCACCCGAGAGCCTGCCAGCTCTGATTTCTCCTGGCTCCTTTCTTCACTTCATATTCCCTGCTTGATTGGGAGTCTGTTAAATGCTGCTCCCACACTCTTTGATTTGCTTTTGTCTTTCTGCTGGTGCCCCTTTTGCGTAAAGCCAAAGTGGAAGGGGCTCAGGGCTAGAGAAACCATGTGTTTAGGAGGCCTGTGTGCACCGAGAATAGACTTTACATGCCTTATGAAAGCAGTCAGGACAGGGGTCCGTAGGTTGGATCCTCTGCATCCTGATACCATGAGCTAAAGGGAGCAAGGTTTAGGGGTCTTAGTGTGCTACTAAGTTGAAAACATGGTTGAGGTTTAACCTCTGCCTTCTTATCTAGGTTTGCTGCTTCGATATATCCTATGCGGTTTTCCTTCTATCTTTTAAGTTAGAGCATGTTTTTCTCTCAGACGACGTGGCTTTCTTGCAGATGTTCCTAGGACAAAAGGTTATTTAAGGAATATTTTTACTCTGATTTTTAAGACACTTTAAGGACTATCCTTCCTCTGTGACTTTTTAAAATAGCGCCCAGTGGCAGAGTCATTTCACTGCCGGGCACTGCGTGTGTTAAAGAATGGATTTGGAGATTTTAGTACTTGGCCAAAAATGCAAAACTTGAACCTAAGTAGCGGTTGGATTATTACCTTCCACGATGGTTAACTTTATAGTTGTGAACTTTGTAATGAGGGTGTTAAAGATTATTCTATTTGGTTTAGTGGGTTTGTTCAGGTAGCCAATTTTAACAAGAAGGTTTGTGTTCATACAGTAACAGACCTATCAGTGTTTCCACCATGCACTTCTGTTTTTAGGGGTTTATAACTTTAAGTCCTACATTCCTAGTAACATTTGGACTTTTCTTAGGTTATGTTTCGTGAAGATTGGGGTGCGGGGGGGGGGGTCTTTTAAAACTTTAGCCTCTGTATTTTATGTAACACAGTCTCTTTATATATTAATCTGCACTAACATCTCTGTGATATACGCTCATTCTTTAGAGGTAATCCTGACTTCTAGGTTATTTTGTGCATTTGGTTGGGATCCCTTTTTTAAAAATTAATTGATGAGATTGAAAATGTCTTCTATATTTCTAATGGACTAGACAAAAGGATCTGTGTCCCCAAGTGAGACAGGCTCTGAATGACCTTTGTTCTCTCCGCTTTTTATCGATGATTTGAAAACGCTCCAGTCCTCCCTTCAAATCATGCATGCGTATAGGAGGACGACTGTTGGTGGCTCAACTGGAAACAGGTGCTCAATAGTCAGGTTTGATGGCGATGTCAGGACAAGGTAGAAGCTGTTAGTGACTGGCCGTTGGCACCACCCTTGACTAACCCCCTGTGTTTCCCTCCAGCGCGCCTGTGGCGAAGTGGCCGTGGCGTCGTTCAGGGTCTCGTTTGCAGTGCTCAGGAAGTGGGACGTACACTTGGAAGGTGCTTGTTTGCCATTACCTGGATTCTGTTCGCTCTGTTAGGTTTACCTCTGGAGCATGGATTTCGGCAGCTGTGCTGACACTACATTCTAGTTCTTAAGACCCTTAATTTCCAGACTTCCCTCCCCGACAGACACAGCTAGAAATGGGCGGCTTCCATCTTCTTAAACCCGTGACGTTTTCATCCCTCCCCACCTCAGATTGGAATCAATGGAGCGGGCCCAGAGATGACACTTGAGTTTCGGTGATGGTAGATTTGTCCTGCTTTTTGAAACCTCTCTCCCTTTCATATCCCCACTGCCGGTGGAGTCCATGAAGTGAAATGAGTGGGTGTGTCCTCCTTTAGGGAGGTAACAGTGGAAGACTTAATCCGATTTCCCACAAGGGAGCTTGGATACTGATTGTTTGTTTGTTTGTTTGTTTGTTTTTCACAGTACCTGGTTTGCCCCATTTCAGTCTTCAGTACTTACTCTTGGCACTGGTTGAAATAGCATTTTCTTACAAGTAGCTAATGAAGAGTGGAATCTGAGGTTATGATCCAGTAGAGTTTTTGACACTTGTGGAAATGGTCAGCCAGACTGAACTTGAGCTTTTTTTTTTTTTTTTTTTTTTTTTTAACTTTTCTTCTTTTATCCAGGAACATTCAAGTAACAGGTGGATTTTAAGGGTACTGGTTGGAAGAAGGAACTGCTTTTCTCTAAACCAGTTTAGGAGATGCTTTGAGAGTAGTAGTAAGGCAAGAACAGAATCTACCAGGAGCAACAGGGAAAGCTTTATAAAAGATCATGTGGCCATTGTTGTTCTAAAGAGTGGGAGTTTTGATTTGAATAGTTCTTTCTGTTCCTGCATCGCCAGTAGCTGCACTGTGAAGAAACTGTCACCTTAGGCATTTGGGAAGGACAGAACCTGGCCTCTGGCCTTTAATGGCATTCAGACAGATACTTAAGAGGAACAAGTAATAAATGTTCCCCGCCAAGGGAGGGGGAGAATAAAACAAGCCGTATGCTCTCGAGGTTAGAAAATTTGTCTTTTTCTGTGTTCATAGAGCTGGGTTTATTTGAAAAGGGAGTTAGTTTGAATATTGGGACATCAGGCTACCTATAGCAAAGTTTTAGTCTGCAACCTATTTTCCCCTCGTCTTGGGCTGAACTTGATACAAAATGACTTTCTGAATCCCAAATCGCTAAGTTAACACTTTTTTTCAAAGCCTAATTCACAAAATTCACAGTGGTGCTGACTGTGTATTAACCACTATTGGGAAGAGTCCCGTAAACCTGCCTGTTGCCATGCCAATGGAGTGCGTGAGCGGGTGACATCTGTTTGAGCATGCTTTGTGTGGCTGGTGGAATGCCACCATTGTGCATACACTTTGTACATCAGGGGTGAAGGGAGGGTTTTCTAGATTATGGGGGGAGGGTAAAATTGGGGTGGTTTTTTTCGTTGTTCCTTTTTCAATGGGGTGTAGGGGTAGAGTACTCAGCTTATGCCCTAAATAACATGTATAAAAACCCCTGAAGTATTGTGTGGGTGTGTGTGAGAGTGTGTGTTTGTATATGTCTGGCGATTAAAACTTTTGTCTTCTGGAAATTAGTGAATTCTTTTCTTCTTTTCCTCCAGAAGTATTTGTTACAAGATTTGTAAATAAGAGCTCTACCTAGTTTGTTTACCATGAACATGTTGCAGCAAACCTTACGCATCTAATCCCTGCAAGATTTAAGGAAAGACTTCCAGACTTGCCAGGTTAAGCAGCAGCCAAGTTCTCAGTAATTGTTCGCCTCCATTCACCTTTCAGACTTCATTTTGCCAGCTCTAAAACTCCCAGTCTTCCTTGATTTTAGTTCTGAATCTTTTACCTTCTGAGCAGGAAGGGTTATTGAGAGGAACCTGTTTAAATGTATTTCATCAGTCCATGGGCCGAGACGGGGGCATCCCTTTCTTAATACTGCAATGTTGCTATAGATACATGATCAGACACCGGACGGTTGGGCATTCTTGCAATACCTTAACAGTGCTGAAATCTGCAGCATGGTACTTAAGGAAGTTAAAGTTTGAATGTAACCACTTTATTTAAAAGATTTTTTTTTTTAATTTAAATGAAATGAGGTTGAAGTGAACATGATTTTGTTGACCATGTTCGTGAATTATAGATGCAACATGCATTGGTAGACTTGTGTGATGGTCTTTTGTGATCCTTAATTTTTACATATCCCAGTCTCTGTATGTATCTGCATAGACCAAGAAAAAACAAACTCCTGCTTTCTTTTATTGAAGGGTCTCCAGGACTGCGTGTCTGCTCCTGAGCTCTGTTTTGAGTATGTGTATCCTTTGCTTGTATTTTGTATTAAAAAATAAGAAAGAGAACCCTTTATTGTTGAGCATGTTGGCATTGTCCCCTTTATTTTTTTCTCTTTTTGGGACATATGAAGCAAGTTATTCTTTTTCTGTATCTTTTTTTTCTTTTGTAAACTTTTTTTTGTTTTGTTTAAAAATGGCTTTATAAAAGGGCTTTTATAACCCAGATGCGTGCTCCGTGTACTTCTTATAACACTCAAGCAAATACACTAATCATACAGTTGACCACCTTGGCCTGTCAGCTCCCAGTCCAGCCTGACTTTGGGGGGGGGGGGCGACCTGCTCCCCGAATGAATTCTTTAGACACAGTGACCATCACTGGTGTTGGTAAGAAGAAAGCATGTCTTGTCTAAAAGTCAAAAGGAGTAATTAATGCCTAAGAGTATGTAATGAAGAAGCAGATTCCCTAACTTGATTAATCAGGGGAGCTTGGGACCAAAATGCATGAGGATTCCTAGTTAGCATTTTTCCGCATGTTCACATCGAAGGTTAGGTTGTGGAGGGCAAAATTGCTTCAACGGTAATATAAGAAGATAATATGCTCAAAAGACAGATACTTGCATTCAATTTCAAATACCCATATGAACTATACTAACCTGCAATTTAGAATTAAATATTACTTGGATATATCATGTAAGACCCCCCTTTAGAATTGGGCTGATGTTGTAGCTATTAGGGCTTTTATTCTTTTCATCCTTTCCCATTGTTTACATTCTTGCCTTGTCATCTAAGTGTTGTAATTGACATACAAACTCAGCTTGGCTCTGAAATTAAATGTTTCTACAGGCTGTTACCTCTCAGTGACTACGTAACCATTTCTTAGAGTTGTCCCAGGTCAAAGTTGACTTCAGAAGAACCAGCCACTTTTTCTTCAACAATCACTAGGTGTTTTATGATTAACCTACCCAATTTCTGTTTTAGTACAATGCTGAAGAAACGCATTCAGTACAATTCTGGTGTAAAGAATTTAAAAAACTATCAAACATCAGAGGCATAAATACACTTGGAACTCCTTTGACTCTGGTCCATGAACATTATTATGCAGTAATTTAACACTAGTTGCACAGCACTTTGCAATTTATGAAGAGTTTCTGTTTACATAATACCTCATTCGGTTTTCCCAACAACTGAGATTGGCCAGCTGTTGTTCCTCCGATGTCATAGAACAGAAACGGGTTGAGGTGTGCTTTCACGTGGCAGGTATTGTGATTCAAGCTTTGAAATCAGGTCGTCAGTTCTGTGTGCTTGGAGTTGTCACAGCTGTTGTTTCTAAAACCAGCTCCCATCATCTTGAATAAATGGGTCCCTTGAGCCTTCTTCTTGATAATAACCTTTTGAGCATTTTGCTGGTCTTTAGCATCTCAGTAACAGTGACACTTGAACCAGTCCAATGACTAACATCAAAGATTTAATAGGTAAAACTTCTTTTCAGTAAGATAGGAAAATTTCTTGTTGAACAGTTTACTTAAAAAAGATCCTCATGGCCCCTAGATATGAAGCTTCAAATTATTTAAAAACTTTTACTTTCAAGGCGCCTGGGTGGCTCAGTCGGTTAAGCATCTGACTTCAGCTCAGGTCATGATCCCATGGTTCATGGGTTCAAGCCCTGCATCGGGCTCTGTGCTGACAGCTCAGAGCCTGGAACCTGCTTTGGATTCTGTGTCTCCCTCTCCCTCTGTTCTTCCCCTGCTCGTTCTCTGTCTCTCAAAAAAAATAAATAAAATTTGTTTAAAAAATATTTTATTTTCTGATTATGTATTAAGATAGTAACTTGAAAGTATTATTAATCTGGACTATATACAGCCCTTATCCTCTGCCAGTAGAGGGCAGTGTTTGTCCTCCAAATACTTGGCTAATGGGCCCGCTGCTCTCCCCAACTCTTTTTTTCTTTTCCTTTCTTGTCTTTTCTTTTTTTTTCTTCTCTTTTCTTCTTTCTTTTCTTTTCTCTTCTCTTCTCTTTTCCTTTATTTTACAAATTCTAGACCCAACATGAGACTTGAATTCATGACCCCGGGATTAAGACTCACACGCTCTACCTACTGAGCCAGCCAGGTGTTCCCCCCACCTCACTTTTAGATGCTGTCCCCTGGGCTCACCACCCACCGTATCAGGACACCCTTCCACCTACCTGCATTAGAAATGTTCTGTGATTGGTGTGCCCACTTAACATCCTAGTGTGTCCAGCAGCAGTAGTCTGTTCTGTATTTTAAATTTTTTTTTTTTCAACGTTTATTTATTTTGGGGACAGAGAGAGACAGAGCATGAACGGGGGAGGGGCAGAGAGAGAGGGAGACACAGAATCGGAAACAGGCTCCAGGCTCTGAGCCATCAGCCCAGAGCCTGACACGGGGCTCGAACTCCCGGACCGCGAGATCGTGACCTGGCTGAAGTCGGACGCTCAACCGACTGCGCCACCCAGGCGCCCCTGTTCTGTATTTTTAGTGGGAAATAGGATCTCTTGATTCGTGCACATCTGTCTGCTTATGTTCTCTTTTTGCAACTCCCCAAACCTATGTGGATAATATCCCCAAATGGAAGATTATGTTGAGATTTCAAAATGCAACTGGGAACTCTTGGCCCGATTTTGAAACAGGTGTTGGCTTTTGAAATCGTCCTCCAGCTCAAAAAGCTTGTCTCTTGCACAAGCAGCACTAAACACAAGTTCACATACAACGAATCCTGAAACTTGTTTTCATGGTGACATGGTACCTGGTGTTCCTTTATGGTGACGGCATGCTTCTCATTCTGTCCATTATCTCAATAGAAGGGACAGGTATCCATTCTGATATGTTTTGGCTACGAGAAATCAGTGTTACTCATGGGTGTGCCCTGTTTCAATACGAAAGTCCTGGACAAATATTGGGAAACAAAGGCTGTGCTAATTCTGGAGTCAGGGAGTGAGAGGGTGCACCCAGAGTTTCCGTCCTAGTAAGGCAAACGATTACTTAAAAATATAACGAAATGTTGGAAATAGTAGTTTGCTTTGATTTAGCTCTAAGCTAGCACCGAGAAATCACCTGTTTAAAAATGCCGATGTTAAGGGATAAGTTGTGGAAGATCACGTGTATATTACTATTGTTGGTAATGTGTCAGCTACTAATGTATAATAATATATGTATTGAATACACACACAGATCCTTTGAGTAGAACATGTAAGACCACATCAGCTCCCTTGGCTGACGTGAACTATAATGCGTCTAACAGTTCTGTCTTTTCCACCTCGGGTAGGAATAAGGAATACGCAGTCTATATGTAGTCAGTGCTTTCCTGACTATAAGAGATTATTAGGGTGGGTGGTTTAGATAAGGCTCTGAAGGAGGTAGAAAGTAATTGGAACAAGAAAAGTGATGGCCTAAATTTAAGATTACAGATTTGGTAACTCTAGCTGACTGGCCCTGAGGCCAGAAGGGATTCTCATCCACAATGAAGCGAATATAGGTGGTGATGTAAGTAATAAAAAGTGTATAGAGACAGCGACATACATACCTCCTCACCGCGGTTCTCTTGTAGTTCACTAATTCAGCCCCAGTGGAATAAAATAGTAAGCC